AGAACAGTCTTTTGCTCATTGTTTGTAAGTTTACGTTTTAAGATTACAAACTGGTAATATTTATATTTTGCAACAAAGAAGAATCAATGTGTCTAATCAAAGGTTGCTTTTGAAAACATACGATCTATGTTTAATTTATTTTTAAAATCAGGGCTCTGTCAAACTATTTCAATATTCTCTGTTACAGTAAATCAACAAAGATTCCCAATCAATAACTGATACACCGAGTATAATAACTCATGTCTATGCATTCCATATCCTGATACTTTGGAGAAGTCATTTCATTACGAATGGTGAATGCCCCATTATTGCTTGCTAGTGCAATAAACTACATTGGTGCCCATTTCAAATCCTTAGAAGCCTACGTGTTGTAATATCTGTAAGAACTGCTTTCATGTTAATGACACACTCTAGCCAACTGAACGAACATATACTTTATGCTCTAATGCAAAGGATAAAGCAATGAACCCAGTGTATAATGTAGCAGATGATAAAATAGTGGCCATAAAAATCACAAGATTTAGGGAAATATTATTTCACATAGGGTGATATAAAAAAGTGCATGGAAAACTCATTCGAGGATCTTTGTAATTGTCGTAAATGAGAGGGGGTGAAGAAAGAGGGGGGGAGAAAAAGAGAGGGGGGAAGGGGGAGGGAAGGTCAAAGAAAGAAGGGGGCCAGAAAGAGGAAGATAGAGAGTGACCAGCAGGGCCCTGAAGCGTTTAGACATGTCATTTAATGGTGAATGTCTGATTGTGAAGCAATGTTGTAATATACCTTATGCTTAATTCTGCTGTAAAACTTGAAATGTGATTTAATTTATATTTCTGTGTCATGTAGAGTATTTAGAATCAAGTCTGCTTCTAAAAGAGGGGGAGGGGATTTGAGATTGAGATCATATGGTTTGGCAGCATGCTTTATAAGGTTACTGACGAACTCTCTAAGGACAAGCATTCCTCTACTACAGGGGGTTGTTTATATGAAGGCATCTCAACCTCCCACAGGCAGTCCTGATTTTCAAGGAATGCTATATTTATTTCCTAAAACGAGGTAAAATGTTATTTTGTTCATTCATTCTTACTCAATTTTCAGCTTTCCCTTTCTTTAAATACACCACCAATATGGTAATGTTTATACAGACAGCATCATACACATTTAAAGAGAGAAATAAAAATATAAAGACTTTGGTGAAAACAAAGCACATTTATTCTTAAAAAAAAAAAATCAGCTTACATTTTTGTGATCCGTTCCATTGATAATAAAGAGTTAAGCAAAAGTTGTATGGAAACATTTGTTTTAAAACTCTCTGATTATTTTAACGGATCAATGTTAACATTACATTAAGGATAATGCATTCCCAGAAATGTACAACTTTAATGTGACGGATGTGATTTTTTTTTACAATGTTTGCCTCTTGAGTGAATGGATTGAGTAGTGACAAAGAAGGTATGGCTAAGGCACAAATGGCCTCATGCGCTTTAGGTACCCTTACAAAAGACAACACAAATGGATTTTAAAAGGGCTCAAGGTCTTGTACTAAAATGTCAAGTGAGGTGAGGTTGCTGTTTGTAGGGCAAGTGGGAAAGCAAAGGACAGAGGTGCCTGAGCTGACATTGTCATCTCAGAAAAGAGGCACTCCGCGTTGGCTGTCTGAAATTTTATTCTTATGCATGAAAAAAAATTCTGTAATTTTGAGTGTGGAACTTATTGGAGGTAAAAGCAGGAAATGTTATATTAGCGCTCTGTGGACTTAATCTAATGCTTTAGAAAAAAAAATTTAAATGTTTAAATTCAGGACATTTTTTTCTGTCTGCATATTTCAGGTTATTACAATTATGACAAAATATTTTTTCTATCTGCATATTTCAGGTTATCATAATTATGACAAAATGCCATTTTCTTGATGAACACATTGGTCTGAATAAAGTGTGATGAAAAGGAAAACAGGTTTTCCTATGTTAACTTCCATTTCTCAAATATGTGCTCATAATGCTAATCCTTGGACCCTGATGCTTTCTTCAAAATATTCATAATAGGGACCATATGCCCAGTACAGTGCTTCCTCAGTGTCACCACGGCTCAGTATATAGCTAACAAGCATGACAGCACCTTTCTTGCTACTTGATTTTTAGCTCCAGTCTATTTCAGACATTACTGTGCAATCTACTATGGTTAGAAAAGTGACTGTTCTGAAACCCTATCCAGATAATATTTTAATCAAAAGTAGAGTTTGCAAACAGAGACCTGATATTTGGAGATCAAATGTCTGCATAAAATTACTTATGATTGGTATAAATAATTTTTATTTTTCTGCATATTTTTGGTTACTTTAAGTGTTTTACAAGCAATTCCAATGTGGCAACAGTATTAGAATGTAATTTGCATAGTAAAAATAAGGATATATTATGGCCGAAGCTCTTGAAACCCAAGGTCTAGACCAGAGGTAGTTGGGTTCACATCGTGATTTGTAGTAATTGCTTACTATGCAACACTATTACTGATAATAACACAACACAAATATGGTTCACTTTGCTGCTGAATCAGCATCATCGGAGCTAACGCCGCTCCTGTGCTGCAGCCTAGCGGAATGATTCGGTATAAAAATGACATATTCCAGGACGCGGTGTGAAGCACTTGCTGCAAAGTAGGTTAAGAAACAGAGGAAAAAAGTCATATGCTCAGAAATCCCACAGACAATATATACTCTGCCCCAGTTCCTTGTTTGTATGGAAAATGAAGGGAAGATCAAGAAATGCCTTCAGAAGTCTGAACAGGGTTCACCTATTTGGGAATGAACCTTTTCAGTTGCAAATATTCTCTTTTTCAACAACAACAACAAAACCATACCTCCTTCAGATGACACTAACTTTCTTAATAATGTGCCAGAAATGCATATCTCTGTGGACAGAAAATCAATTTTCCATCCCTTTTCTCTTTTCTTTGAAAGAAAATCTGAGTATAGGTCAAGATTTTACAGTGCAGTATCAAACCGAATACCTAAATATTACTGCCTTTCCCCATAAGCATTAATTTTTATACGCATCTAGGAATATCACCTGGAGCAACGACCAGGTGCCAGGGCATTTAACCACAGACCTCACACATAATGCATACGTCTGTGTGACTGTCACACAGATTATAGGCTGCTCTCCTATTTCCCTGGTTTTCCTCTTTTCTTTTTGTTTTCCAAGACATCTACGCGTATGGAATGTTATTCTTTCACTGGAGTCAGGGAAGGCATATGCATTCGCCGGGGAAGTCAATTTGTTAAGAGAAAGTCATTGAAACCAAAGAAGTAACTGATTTAATGAAAGCAGACGATGGCTCAGACTTCAAAAACGCAGCCAGAAAGGAAAAAGAAAGAAGTAAAAGCAAATGAAAGAAGCAATTTAAAAAAAAAAAAATGTCTTGATCATCGGAATGGATTTGGATTTGACAGGTTCCTAAGCCACAGAGACACTCTGCTTCTATTTGTTGGTGCCCAACCCCTTCCCCTCGCACCCCAATAAAGCACGACCCCCTCCTGCATCAGCACCGAACGCATATGAGCCTCATCACCACCTTGCAGGGAGGGGGCCGGGCAGCTTAGCCAGGCAGCTTGCCCTCTGCCCATGTCTCTACCACACGGCCCTTTTCTTTTTTCCTTCATCACTCTAACTAAAAAGGAACCAGGAGCTCTTGTCAATGACATAATGTTTTCACGAAAGTTCTGCTAATTAAAAATCCTCACCATACCAGACCTAAAAAAAAAAATGAACACGCTCCTGCCAAGTGTTATTCACCACAGAGACGCTCTTGTAGCTACATTTTAAGGAGGCACAGGGAGGGGGATGGTGTCGAGGGAAAAAGTCCACCAACCTATGCATTGAAGTATTAACAGTCGTCCGCATCCGAGGGACAGATCATTTTTAAATAGGTTCTTCAAGGAAAAAGAGAAAGGAAACAAAAAAGAACGCATCTCCAAACAGCTGAGAGTAATGGATGTGTAGTTTGGGATAACAGAAGCTTTTACTGGAATGAAGAACCACAATTATAGGAAATAGATACGGTTTTTTGGAAGCAAAAGATGAGAGGTCAGTGTTCAAATGACGTTCGTCTTGATTGCACCTGTCGATCCCTCTTTTTTTAATGATAAGGAGATGATAGGTTTTTATTGCAGGGGCATAAAAACACTTTCAGACTACTGCTTTTGCCCATACTCACAGTGCTATCAATAGTTACTTGTTGGGAACATGCATTTAGACTTGCAATGTGCTGCATTAATTTAACACCACATAAAATATGGATTTTATTGCAGCAGAGACAATAAATGCTGCAACTGCTGACTACATGCATTTAATCTCCCCTCTTCATCCTATCCCCCCGCCTCATACTTCTGACTCAGACATAGAAATGTGAATATGGGAATGATGCCTATTCCATTTCTGATAAATGCCAATCTATTTTATTTATGTAGATGCTTAGTGACCATTGACTGTTTCAAGGAATCTGTCTTCTGCCTGTCATTTCTCTTTACATGAAATGTACAATGAACGATGATTATGAATAAGTGCAGAGTGAGTCCATTCAGATAGAATGTAAAGTAATGTTAGATGATGCCAGAGTTCACAGCAACAATGTTCCCTCTCCAACTGATTTTCAAAACACAGAACAAGTATGAACATGCCAAATTTCACTCCATAACACATTTTTAGCATTTGTTCAAAGTGAATAAATTCACAAACTGTAATATCACGGCCCACGGTTGAGCATAAATATATAATTCATCCAGTTTTACATCAGCTCTATAGATATTCAAAGCAGTGGATTCTAGAATCCAATATATGCGTAGTTTTATGCATACCCATTTATGTATTAAATATGACCATTTGGAAATAATTGCGACATACAACTTAAAAGCAAACATTTACCCCCTAGGGAAAGGAAATAAAAGACCCTTAAGGGAGTTAAAGAAAAACAAAAACCACCACACCAAAAAGAGCGAGCCGAAGTCGTCCTACCTTTTTTTCTCAGCCTCGGGATAAAGGAAGTTGGTGCCAGCCCGGACAGCCCTGGAGAAAGGGTCACTACGTCCCGTTTTTGTGTGTTGCCGGCGTTATTTTCTCCCCCGGCTTCTACTTCAATGCAACTCCAGCTTTCTCGCAGCATCACTTTTAACTCTGGACGTCAGGGAGCCGAGGCGAAGCGGGCGGGGCGGGGCGACTCTCTCCGATTGGCTTTCCCTC